GATCGCTTGATAATGACGTCAGAGGCCGACTGTTCATATTTGCCTCGACTTGGGCACGCACAGTCCCGTCGTCCTCGAAGGAAAGCTTGATGTTACCAAGCGTTTTTGCTGTCTTCACAGCCACTTCCCGTAGGCCAACGAAAGAAGGTAATCTTGAAGAAATGGAGTGCAACTGGATCCGGTGCATGCTGCATTCATTGACGATTGCTTCTCTGATGCGTTTATTTTCGAAAAGACGGTACAGCTCGGCTAAAGTGTTGTTCGCTCCTTGAAAATGTGTATGATGAAGATGAAGCGATGCAAAGCTGCAAGAAAGGCCTTCGTTGAAAGGTCACATACCAATCCAAGGTGGACGGCTATGTATGCTTTATGTGGCGCTGCTAGTCGGTGTGCTGGTTTCACGTAGACCGGTCCGAAGTAGTCCACTCCGACTACGGTGAAGACTCTGCTCGTTACGGTGTGAGGCTTTGGTAGTTGACCAGTGACAGGGACAGGGTTTTGGTGAAAGCTAGGAAGGGACACAGTAGTCTCAGTGATGATTTGTTAGAAACGGATCGAGTTTTTGCAAGTTCTTTCAGATCTTCGGCGAACATCTCCTGCTGTGCAATCTTCGTAAGCATTTTCTTGACGTGTTCCCCTACTGCGGCGAATAGGCGAGGATAGATATTAGGTTTGCGACGACAACGATTCACAAAACGAAAGACCAAAAGCGGTGATGCGAACTAAACGCCACAAGGATGAGTACCGATGAAACAAAAAGGGATGCTCCGGTGATTGCTGTACCACAAGTGCTGTTTTTCGCCGTTCTAGTAGATCTTCTGGTGGAGTACCTGTCGGCTGTTAAAGCCAATTATCTTCCTCTTTCGGAAGTCATCGTGGGTCATAGCACTAGATAGTGTTAGCGACAAATTCTTTAGGAAGCATTCCGCGTGAAACAAGGTCCGCTGGGTTGTCAATTCCTTTAACATGATTCCAGTGGTGGCCGTGTGTTAGTTGTTGAATTTCAGACATTCTATTTCCGATGCAAGTCTGCCAAGTATTGGGTGGTGCCTGGATCCAGCGAAGTGTAAGCGTTGAGTCTGACCAGCACCAATTTGTGGGGAGACTGCAAATACTTGCTTCTCTCTCACTAACTGATACAATGAACAGTATACCGAGTATGGCACTAGATGCTCTACTTTATCAGCTTCCGTTGCATTAATTTATCCAATTAGAAGCTGAAAGAAGCACTTTAAGGGTTCAACGGACAAATTACTACCTTGAAAGTGATCTTACACCTTAGTATTCTAAAAATATTTGATATTGATTCTCTTGTATTAAAAAATTAAGACTTGATGAAAAAACAATACCATTTCGATTGGTTATACAATGCAACAGAATTTGATCGTAATGTTTGGGAAAGTGGGGGACCAAACATCCGTCCAGGTTCAACTGTTTTTTATACAGACGGATCAAGATTGAACAATCGTGTGGGAGCAAGGATAGATACACACTTAGAAATAACTAATTTTACCGTGACGGAATCCATCTTTGACATAAAGGATCAGACGTAAACATATATTTCATGTAAAATTAAGTGCTCCTAGACTGAAAAGTTCGTTACTCGACGGAAAGTACGTTTGATTGAGTTGAATTTCGCGTCTGTTATGTATCTATTTTATGTCAAAATTGACGCTCGCATATGTCAGTCTCAGAGCACCTAAATTTACATGATTTTTTTTTCAAAATGTGGATCTCAATAAATATGGGTTACTGACCATCCGTGTTCCAAGCAGGAATTCAAGCAAGTCTTGAATGCTCTGTAATAGGCTTGCCCAGAAATTATAAACATTAGAATATCTGCATTTTGTCAAGCAGCATTAAATGCTTTAAAATCAGCAGCATACAATTCAAAACCCGTATGGGAATGTGCAATTTCACTTCAGAAACTTGACTATATGGAATTTCACTTCAGAAACTTGGCTGAATGGGAATGTGCAATTTCACTTCAGAAACTTGGCTTGTAGAAACCAAGTGAACCTATATTGGGTTCCTGGCCACTGTGAATGAAAAACCCGACACGTTAGCCAGGCTAGAACCATCTCAACAATTCATAGGACCAGAACACTCCTGTGGAGTTTCTGCTTGTTCTCTTAAAATAGGGATCAAGATATGGAAAAAAAAATGAAAGTGGAGACCAACTGGAGCAACACTTCTATTCAGTTTTGGTGATATTGTAACAAAATATCATGCTTGATATTGATATTAAAAGCTCCTTTGATTTTGCGAGGCTATTCACAACGTTCAAAAATCAAGCGGAGAGTTAACTAGGCACAAAAATGATTCCGTTGCTCATCGTTTTCTTAGAAAGAGAAAGTATAGTTTGCTATCTCTTTTTACTGTTCACCGATGGCACACACGAAGTGACTGCTGCCAGCTGTTATGGAAGTTTCGGTTGCATTCGGGTGTAAGCAAAAATCATTAAACTCAATCTCACCACAGTTTGTTGAGATTTGCAGCTGGTCATATTTGTTAGTTTGATAATCTGAGCTGCGATATCACAGCTTGCAAAATCAACCGCAGCTATATGCTTGTTGATTTTTGTCTACGCAAATCAATCGTGTCTTGGGCATTGGTGAGATTTGATTTTTTGATATTTTACCAACACTGTGTACATTGCTAGGCAGTCGATGATTCATGATTCAGTTCATGATTCCGAACATTTCAATGACTAACAGAATTATGGAATCAGTGTTCACTCGGCTGTCGACAAAAGCAGACCACTCTCGATGTGTGCTACGCGATCGTCTGTTTTCTCGGCAGCAACCATTGTGTGGTCCTCCTCATTGTTCTTCATCAGCAGTTCTTTCGGTCGATGCGTCGTCGACTTTGGAAAGCAACCGTTTCGTGATGAGTGTGTGAGTGCTGACCACGTTTTGCGTCCATTGCTGCAATGGACGCGCTCTGACCCTCGTTGGCGTACAACAATTTGCCATACAATGAAACTACTGGAAGCGGCTCCAGTTCTGATGGAGGAGGCTTTTTGGATAGCGGAAGATAAAGTGTTTATTGTGTTGTACCTTTTGACTATATTTTTAAGATGTATTGTATAGTTACCAAGAATCCTCGGCTCTGTAAAGTTAATTCGGTTGAGCCTTATCAAATAAATTAATGAACAAAAAAAAAAAAAGAATTATGGAATTATCATGGAGAGATCTATCCTTTTTTCTTTGGATTATTTTCCGTCGATCTTGTTTTCCGTGCTGAGCATCAATGCTGCCGACGCCAGGGAGGCAGCGCCCACACCTGGACCCTACTTATCGACCCACCAACTCATGCACCGGGGACCAACTGCTTTACTTCCCTTGCGAAGGAAGGCGTGATCTGAGATGTTAATGCCTCAGAATATCCCGGCGGCGCTTACTGGGATTGAACCCAGGCCTGCTGGGGTTAGAGGTAATCACGCTTACCACTACACCACCGGCGCCGCTGGTTTGATAACAGGAAATTGTCCATGTAAATATCACTTGAAGTTAATACGAAAACTTTAAGAGGTGTGTCGATTCTGTGACATAGAAAAGGAAGACCCTGAACACCTGCAAGGCACGTTCGGCACAGCGCTAGGCCCAACGCTTGGCACAGCGCTTGGCACAGGTCAATAACTCGACACGAATTAAGGTGTGCAGAGTCGAATGCTCGTTGACATTAACATTTTCTTCCCTGTCCCTAGTTACGGTAAAGATGGGCGTGGTCGGGAAGAGTGACAGTCATGCATTTGGTATGCTTGTTTAAATTGGAATCAATGGTTACTCCCCAGCTATTGCTGAACGCAGATTGACTAAAAATTTCAAAAGAGACGTGAGTGTCACTAGTATCCAATCTACGAAGTATACCGTAACAACGGTAATGCTAACGCTAGTGCTGCAGGTTTTGGTCTAGGGCCTCAATCAAATTTGATATATGTTTTCATGTTTTTATTTGCGTAGATATACATTGACCCCACAATTATGGATCAGCTTAAGAAAAATATGGATCAGTCTGTACAGCGTGTTAATCAAATGGAAGTGATCCATAATTGTGGGGTCAGTGTATCTATATGGTAACATATGTTCTAATTTTGTATCGGAATAAATTTTTTAAAGAATGAAAAAGTATGAAATTTAAGATAGCGCCAATAAGAGGACTAAAAGGGCCAAAATCTGGCACACTTCTCTAGTTGTAAAACTTGAGCTCAACATTAGAGCAAATTAGAACGAAGGTAACATCACATCATTGACTTTGTTTGAGTTTAGTTGGAACGTGAGGTACAATATCAACAAGATTATGGCCTATCTGTTTCACGTTTTAGATTTCAAGGACTATCATATGTTGTCATAAACTATAAGTAGGACACGTTTCGGCAGAATCCATGAATTACAGCAACAATTTTTTTTTTTCTCACTGTGACCGTTATCTGACACCTGACCGATATCATCCCCATGATTTAAAAAACACAAATTTTTCATCACCTGACTGTCTCCTTTTGTCTCCTCGTGAAGAGTGATTCACGCTTGAGGAAAGTTGCTTAACAAGCTTCGACAGCTCACGATGGCAATCACACCTGATGCAATTGCTGGTTATTTTTTTTCCAAACCTCTTTGTTCCACGGATCGCTGTGCATAGATCGCTCGAGATACACTATTCTTTTCTGAAGGTCGGTACTCAGCCGACCATGTGAGTGCGATCACACAAGTGGTGTAGGAGCTGGTTGAGAAGAAACAACTCCTTCGAACAGGCGGCGGTGCGGCCAATGTGGGAAGCAAAAGTTGAAAAACCGGAGCTTCGGCGACGGAAAGAAAATGCCATGAATAAAGAGCGTTATCCCTAGTTCGGTCGTTTGCTGTCGATGCAAGCAAGCAAGCGAACCGGAACAAACTGCGTAAGGCAGGTGCGAGGTGAGTTCTGAACCAACTTATGTGTGATCAGAGTATTATGTGAAAACAAAAGTGATTTTTCAAGTTTCTGAAATGTTTCGAACCTACCTCTCAGCTGATAGACAACACTTCCAACTGGAGTGTTTTCCGGTAGACTGAAGCGAGACATGTCTCCGGATCCTGGTATGAAGTGCGGTGTTCGGTTGATGATTTGACATTTAACCGGTTGGACTAGAATCAGCAGAGCGGTTGCGATGGCAAAAACCAGTCGACGAATCAGCATCCTCCTTCTTCGGCAGACTTCCTTCAGGCTTACCATTGTGTCTCGTATGAGTGAACTGGAGAACACACTATATTTTATGGTTTCCCAGATGCACTACTGAGAGTTGTGGTTTCCCCTATCTCCTCTACAATGTAGAATACGAGCGAGGTATACACGGATTTACTTTCTCGTATAACAATCTTCGTGTGAGAAAAACTCCCACTGGCTAACCCACCAGAGTGACCCCTCTAAGCCATTTCATGCCCATTCGTGGATCAATTTCTTATACACTCGCCCAGGCTTACATTGGCTCTCTTGGGCTATACACTAACACGAACACTAGTACCAGTTCTTGGACAGCGCGAAACCCGGTTACGTTGCACAATCTTCTTTTTGCTCTCCACTTTTTGCGGTTAACTTCATTCGTCGATCTCAACTATTACAAGCGAGATTTTTTTAAATCACCATGACTGATAGAATTTTCTCGATGCCTAAAGATTTCTTCGATGCCTTTCCAACAGCAATTTTCAAAACCACTACAGCAATCCGGATGTAAAATCCTAATCCGGGACAAAACTAGGCCAGCACGAAATTTCCAAACACATTCCAGACGACGCAATGCACAAATGAAAAAAAAAAAACCTACAAAGGCATCTCGAACGAAGAAAGCCACTTTTCACCTTTTCATCTTCCAGCTTCGAACCCAACAGACGAAAGATCGTTTTCTTCTGCTTCCTTTTCTCCTTTCTATCCTCAGTGGGTTATTGCACACTGAAGCAAGGGCCCACAACTCGAATGGACACTTGGGACGGACCGGCGACCAACAAACGTCTTACCGCGGTAAAGGTTCCTCGAAGATTGAGTCCACCAGTTCGTGGGATCGTGCCCCGCTGGCTTGAGGTGAGCTGAGCGCATTTACCTTGCGAATCGCGTTGAGAGAAAGACAAAATTAAGAGCGAACCACCACGAACAGGTAAACTGCCGTTTTTGTGTTGTTTTGTTTTGATCATAAAAACGTGCGCGCCCGCCAAGCGAGTTTGTCGCTGGATGGACGTTGAAGTCGCTCGTAGTATTAGCGAGTGGTGAGTTGCTTCGAAAAAGCACTCACTCTCTAGATGATCGGAGAAGGATGGTTTTTGTTGCTGTTATTGGATGCCGGAATGCTTGTTTTTGTTTACGTTTGGTCCGGTTTCGAATCATGGAAGGTAGCCCTTCAGTCTGCGTGTTTCAAATCGTTCTAGGCGCCTGATTACTCCATTTGGTTGGAAGAAAGTATCAAACCATAAGATATTTTGAATAAATCTTATACAGTACAGTGTTTTGAACATTATACGTTAGCTGCACATTTAGGGAAGATCCATAAATGACGTAGAATTTCGGGGTGATTAGTAGGATGGATCAACTTTAAAACCCTCTGTTTCCCACTGTTCTTTCAATGCGTACACACTTAAAAATAACTAATTTTACACGAGACGTAATCCATCTTTGACGTAAATTATGGAACGTAAACAAATATGTCATGTAAAACTAAGTGTTCTCTAACCGAAACATACGCAACTCGTCGAAAAGTACGATTGATTGAATTTATTTTCTCGTTTCTTTCAACTGATTCTTATGTCATCTGGGCCGCTTGCATGTGTCGGTCTCAGGGCACGGAAATTTACATTACTTTTTGGTAGTGTGTTTTGAGGTCCCCAACAACTGTATTTTGGTTATAATTTCGATTTGCAGGATAATTTTATGTTTATGTTTTGAATGGGAAAATGTATGGGAATGATCCTATTCATTTGCTTACCAAAAATCCAAATATCACTAAGGGGGCGACCCCGGCGTAGTGGTTAGCATCCATACCTTTCACGCCAAAGTCACGAGTTCAAATCTCACCCCCGGACAAGTCACGAATGACCCAAGAGCGTTAAAGTGACTATAATAAAAAAAAAGTAACCAAATATCGCTCGAATTTCACCAAATCTCGGACTTAGATTGAGAATACAACTTGTATAACTTCATGTATGCGGTGGGTGGCTCTACCCACCCTCCGCTATTGGCGGCTGTGCCTTAACTAATTGAGCTGATTTCTGTAGATAACTACACACTTGAAAAATTTCATGTAAATTTAAATCTTTTTAGATGTAATCAAAAGAAGCGGCTTAATCGACCTAAATTTACGTATTTTCTTAAATTTACTCAAACCACAAACTGAAGACATATTTTTACATTTCGTGACGTAAATTTCTGTCACTGGTGCTCATTTTTACTGATTTTGATAAGTTTTCAAAATCCTGCAATTTTACATCTTTTAGACATAATTTAGTGTGGTTCTCTGGCAATTCAACGGGCAAAAAATAGGCTCTCCTATGGATATGTGGTGCATTGCATGCTTAGTGATTGATATTTTTTTTTGACACTACAGGATATTATCGGACATTCGTATAAAATTTCACTTTGCCATTCAATATGGCGCTACCTCAAGTGCTGTCGATATGCCACAAATGACTTAAATATCACTTTACATCCGAACGCGCACTTAAAGACTTGTGAATTCCTATGCAGCCGGATATGTTGTTTTATAAAATGTGGAATTCGTGTAGTCCAAACCACATATATTGCACCGGACACTCATTTTTTTCAATACCGTACCGTAACGCGATTAAACTGCGGAGTGCGTTGCCGATGACGATCGAAGCTTTACTTACTGCTTTCAGGTGCGTTGTCACCGAGGTTAGGCATTATGTAATTTTACATCTGTTCGGACATAAAAATCTGGCACGAATTTACTTTTCAGTTTCGGTCATGTAATTTTAGGTTTTTTGACATATTTTTCAGAAGTTGATGTGATATTCAGTCATAAGACGCTATTTCACATCTAGATGTGTTTATTATTAAATGTCGACCTTTATTTTTTTTTTTGAAGTGCGTCTATGTGCACATAAAATTAAGTCGTTTATCGAATTACATGACAAGAAAATTAGATCATACGTCAATTCAAGCTCGTGTAATTTTCAGTTTTTTTTAGAGTGTAGTTTATGGTTGCCATTAATCACATTCTAAAATTCAACGTAATTGGTTCAAGGTCAACCGAGAAACAGCGGTGGGTGTACACTCTAAAAAAAACTGGAAATTACACGAGCTTGAATTGACGTATGATCTAATTTTCTTGTCATGTAATTCGACAAACGACTTAATTGTATGTGCACATAGACGCACTTCAAAAAATAAAGGTCGACATTTAATAATAAACACATCTAGATGTGAAATAGCGTCTTATGATTGAATATCACATCAACTTCTGAGAAAATATGTCATGCTTTTAAAATTAGGTGTCAAAAAACCTAAAATTACATGACCGAAACTGAAAAGTAAATTCGTGGCAGATTTTTATGTCCGAATAGATGTAAAATTACATGATGCCTAACCTCGGTGACAACGCACCTGAAAGCAGTAAGTAAAGCTTCGATCGTCATCGGTAACGCACGTACGGTATTGAAAAAAATGAGTCCCCGGTGCAATATATGTGGCTTGGACTGCGCGAATTCCACATTTTATAAAACAACATATCCGGCTGCATAGGAATTCACAAGTCTTTAAGTGCGCGTTCGGATGTGAAGTGATATTTAAGTCATTTGTGGCATATCGACAGCACTTGAGGTAGCGCCATATTGAATGGCAAAGTGAAATTTTATACGAATGCCCGATAATATCCTGTAGCGTCAAAACAAACGATTTTAAATCAATCACTAAGCATGCAATGCACCACATATCCACAGGAGAGCCTATTTTTTGCCCGTTGAATTGCCGGAGAACCAAACAATTCGCAACACCAAACAACTTGAGAATCCACACTAAATTATGTCTAAAAGATGTAAAATTACAGGATTTTGAAAAATTATCAAAATCAGTAAAAATGAGCACCAGTGACAGAAATTTACCTCACGAAATGTAAAAATATGTCTTCAGTTTGTGGTTCGAGTAAATTGAAGAAAAGACGTAAATTTAGGTCGATTAAGCCGCTTCTTTTGAGTACATCTAAAAAGATTTAAATTTACATGAAATTTTTCAAGTGTGTACGCATATGGAGGGTGGGTCACCGTTATATGAAAAAACGCAAACTTGACTTCATCAAGCGAGAACAAACCTTGGGGTCCCGAACAACGTGGCACTAGTGTGGATATGTATTAAACCATATCTTGAGATCCTGGCCATCTAGAATGTTTTTGTATTCAGAAAAGCTGTTTAGGTGACCAAGACCTTACGGACGGTGGGCGGATTTGTTGAGAATTCATTGACTACGTAGCGCTAGTGTACAAGTGAATATTTGTAAAAGCTATATCTTGGCCACCTAGAAAATTGCTGTCTTCGGTAAACTTGTTCATTTGAGCAAAACCGTTGGGATGGTATCGAGACAAGTTGAGAACTTATTTTCTATGCAGCGCAAGTGAACAAATGAATATTTGTATCTATCTATTTATCTATCTATCTATCTATCTATCTATCTATCTATCTATCTATCTATCTATCTATCTATCTATCTATCTATCTATCTATCTATCTATCTATCTATCTATCTATCTATCTATCTATCTATCTATCTATCTATCTATCTATCTATCTATCTATCTATCTATCTATCTATCTATCTATCTATCTATCTATCTATCTATCTATCTATCTATCTATCTATCTATCTATCTATCTATCTATCTATCTATCTATCTATCTATCTATCTATCTATCTATCTATCTATCTATCTATCTATCTATCTATCTATCTATCTATCTATCTATCTATCTATCTATCTATCTATCTATCTATCTATCTATCTATCTATCTATCTATCTATCTATCTATCTATCTATCTATCTATCTATCTATCTATCTATCTATCTATCTATCTATCTATCTATCTATCTATCTATCTATCTATCTATCTATCTATCTATCTATCTATCTATCTATCTATCTATCTATCTATCTATCTATCTATCTATCTATCTATCTATCTATCTATCTATCTATCTATCTATGTAATATAAACGCGAAAGTTTGTCCATAGTGCTGCTTCTTCTTCTTCGTGTTTCATTTTTGGATAGTGTAAAATGGTAAGCTCTAATTGAAGATGTAATGTAGTGTACATGTCGGTGGTATCTACCACCTCCTACATCATCGATCCTGTATACGAGCTATGTGGTTTCACACGTTTCTCAGCACGTGTTACCGCCATCGTACAATGTTTTTGTT